GCAAAATATTTTTAATCCCTCAGGAGCGCAAAGCTCATTATGGCGTATAATTACAATAGTTTTGATATTTTTCTTATGGATGAATTTTCATAATATATGGAATTTGGCGATATTTAAAAAAAATGTGAAGTCCGTCACGAAGCGGTTAAAGTAATATAAAAAGATCTTATTAAATTTTCTAATGTTTCTGTGCATATTTTTTTGCACAGTATGATTTTGTAAAATGAATATCTCACACTTAATGTGCTTATCAAATATATTATTACAAAATACTTACTTATTATATTTTGATAATTACATGTACATAGATTTTTTTTGGAAAAGTTATAGTTTACGTACATATACATATATGCTTTTATTTTTTTAGAATACATTGTATACTATTGTAAAAGTAAATAAGAAATAAGTTAACAAATTTTATATTAAAAAAAAATATAAGAAATTTTTTTGTGCATAATTATTTAAAATAAGCAATGGATAATTTTGTTTATTGTTTCTATCTTTCAGTTTTTCATAGCATATTTATTTTTAACAACTATATAATGGTAAAAAGTATATTTTATGTTCAGATATAATTGTATTAATAAAATTTATTTATAAATTGTATGAATTATAACAACAAAATTTGTTATGTATTGACAAATTGATTTTTGATTAATAATGCAGCGAAACAAAATTGTGAAATGATCTAAGTAATATATATGTGAAGTTAATAATATATTAAGTATTAACATATATATGTGAATAATACATGCATATATTTCAATACATTAACAATAAAAATGTTATTAAGAATAATAAAAATTATTAATAAAACAAATAGATGATTTAAATACATTCTTTAATATTTTAGTAAATATGAATAATTATACATTATAATTTATCACTAAAACTATATTAAAAAATTATTAAAAATAGCAATGAATTAAATGATTTAAAACAATTCTATATTATTATAAAAAAATAATAAAAAATCGCATAAAATTATTATTAATTAGTTTTTTTTATTATAAATAAAAATCGGTTTTTTTTAATTACTTAATATAGCTTTTAAAGATTTTAATAAGTTCGTTTTTAAAGTTTTAATAAGTTTTTTTTTCAAAGGTTCAATAGTTCATAATATAATAATCAATAATTATGTGAGAAATATTAAATATTATTTCTATTAAACAAAATTTACATACACATAATAATACGCATTAGATAATCATTCTAATATCCTGATCATGAAATACAGGTATAAAATAGAAATCTGGTCTGGTTTCGAGCATGGTTTAGTTATACGTTCAAAATGATGAATACGAAAGTTTAATTAATCGATTGGATGCACTGAATCGTTTATTCGATATGATTATGAAAAGTTTCAATAAACGTATATGTTATTTTGTAACTGGACGATATGTCCGATGTTATTGACAGAGACGAAAAATAAGTATATAAAAGAAGAAAAAATTGTTTTATATGATATTACTAAAACCAAAGAACAAAGAAAATTTTAAAGATACGCGAATTTTTCGAATGATATACAGATTTTTTTTATTAAAAGTTAGTCAAAATTTTGAAAAATAAATGAGTTGCGATAAATTGTTGTTATTGATAAATGTTAACATTGAAAATGTTAATTTATTATGCTCATTTTTTTCAAATCTAATTTATCAATAATCATCAATACGATTGATTCAATTCGCGTATCCTTTTAGTTTCTTCATTCTCCGAATAGTAAACCCTATAGAAATACGATGTAGTTTACAAAACTGTGATGAAACCTTTTTTGTTAATCACATGTATATATATTGTCAATATCTTTTTTAAACATCTCAGAGGTACTCACATATTGCTCAAACATAACGTACCCCAAGCTAGAATTAATACCGAAAAAATGTTTTGTAGCGCCCCCGTTATGTTCACTTAGAATTAAACGCTTTCAAAAATTCGCGCCATCCTTCAATACTTCGATAGTCATATGAACTATCATGTCTATACTAGATAATAGTAGTATAATAATAGATGATAGTAAATATTGAATAAAATAAAACGTTTGCAAATTCATAATAATGGGAATGGATCTGTTTCGCTTATATATGTATATAATTGAATAACTTATATGACTTTAAAATAGCTTGTTAATGATTAAACATTAATAATTTTCTTTTGACGGCAAAACTATTTTCATAAGCGATATATATATTGAATCATGCGAGAGGATGTAATCGATAAATCGTTTCAAGTTCATTACGATTGTATTCTGAATGTTGTTGAAAAACTCGCGTAATGAGATTATTACCCTGATATTCGTGCAGATAAATAGAAACGAGGAAACAGAACAGGAATTTTAATTTGCTTCGAGTATGTCTACAACTGTGATCTTTCGATGGTACGCAATCACGGATTTTTCGAAAATAGCACCATTTCTATAGTAATAATTTTCAGTGAGTACAATTTTATATACACATTACTCAGGATCGATCCGAAAAGTTATAAATGGAACGAAAAAAAAAAAAAATTGTTTTGTCTTAAAAATAGTTTATAATAGAAAATAAAAAAAAGGTGAAAAATATAATAAAAGAAAATAATAGAATTAAGATATACGTTTCTTTTATGTAATAAATTTGAAAAATCTGTTTTCAAAATACCAATAAAATAATTTTCAGATTGACCCTTAGTATTTACTGGAATAATGCATAAGATGCTACGATACGATAATAGAAAATACGCAACATTGAACTTCATGTTATTACCGCAATAATTATACACTTCTCGTTGGATGATATTGGATTATAGAACAATTCATTTTTTTTTTTTTTTCGTTTAAATATTCGCTATATAAGTGTGGGATTATTAGACCTTATATATTGTGTGTAATCAGTGCATTATGTACGTTTTTGTTTGTACGCATGTTTCTTACGTGTATGCTGGTATGCGTATATGTATGTATATGTACATACACACACGTAACATACATACTATATACATTTAAGCTATGTCGAACACAGCCTTCTCTAGATGCAGCAATAAAATTCGACAGTTTTTTTTCGTATCCTTTTTTGTTCATTCCTTAACGTTCATGGATTTTATAAGAGAAATCCAAAATTATTATTCATTTATTGTTAGATATGTGCCAATATCAATGATTGTGACTCGATCGGTTCGAATTAATTTTTATTATGGAAATTATTTGTTTAATATAATTTAATATAATCTAAAATGATAATAATGATAATAATGTTAAGAAAAATTATGTAAACATTAACTGAAAATGGGGAATCAAAAAATTAATTTTTATAAAATTCTTCCTTCTTGACAAATAAATTAAATATTAATAACAAATTCAAAATACGATAATTTGTTGCAATATGACATATACTTGATATAACTTTTATTTTGTATTCTATTTTTATGATCTCGACGTACTTTTTTTTGTTTATTTCTAAAAATTTTTTTTTTTTCTTCTACAGATCTTACACAGAATTAAAAACATCGAATTAATTATAGTAATACAGTCGTAAAAAAGAAGAACAAAAAAGAACGCGTCAAAATACTGTTTGAACTGATCGTGGACATTAATAACAACATACATAGATGAGCAATAATTAGGCTTTCGATTGAAATCGCTGATCACGTGAAATTCTGATTTTATTGATTGTGCATTTATTATTTTGTTCCATGATGACGACTTGTCACCAAATATCATATTTTCTAGAATATTTTTTGTACGTTTTTTTTTTTTTCCTGTTTTAATTACGAAGAATTTTTCTTTTAATTATGACAATAAAATTTAACTATATTATAGCAATCATATAAACTTTGTATAAGAAACAATTATAAGTGAAGAATTCAACGATGAACTAGATTTTTTAGAAGGAGAAGGAATATGTTCTTTAACATTCTTATCTTATCATATCATCTTTAATATTTAAGCCTTTTCCATTATTCCCGAAATTTAGAGAAGATTATCGATATATGTATGTATATATGTATACATATATAGTATACATGCGTGTTTATTTATATATATTTGTATATG